TTTTTGCAAGTAGATCTTCAGGCCTCTCTTCTTGGTTTGAATCTTAGGCAAGAATAATAAGTATAAAAATAGGTAAAACATCACATATTAGACTCTTGGCCTGTTTAAAGAGGGTAAAAATGGAAATAGCCAAGCTATAAAGTGTCCTGTGAGTACATAATGTTGGCACATCAAACAAATGCCTGAAATGCTTCACAGGTAACCCTGTTGTTCCAAAGCACTGTACAAAGCTGTTCAACTATTAATTTAGGCTGAATATTCTAAACTGAGGCCACAATTTTTAATTTTTGTTTATATATTATTAATAATTTTGCTTAGTCAAAAGAGCTGTTATCTGGTATTCTCTGTTAATCATGTGCAATTATAATGGTTTTGTATGAGAATAAGACTTTAATCTTTCCTGTGGGCTCCTTTTTTGGGTTACTAAATGGTTTGGCATCTAGTTAATCATCAAGAATAAAAGAAAGCTGAGACTGTGCCATACACTCCTAGGTAAATCACGATTGTTGAGTGTCATTTTCATCATCTGTTAAATGTGTTCTCCTCACTGATCAATCCTCTTCTACAGGGTGCTAGAGCAAACTGGGTAATGGATCATTTTTCTGACTGGCCTTCAGGACCACATATTACTGTCACCTGCACTCAATGCATGCTTTCTTTTAGTTGTATAATTATTAGTAAATGCTCTTTAGGCACAAGGTAAAAGCCCTGAAACAACTGCCTGATGCCCTCTAGCATAAAAATAGCAGCAACCACATATTACTACTTTGCATGTATTATCACTAATCGTTTTTTAAAAAGTTATATGCAAGTTTTTATAATACACTGTAATATTTATTTTAAGGTAAAGTAGCTAAATCTCAGAGATGTCAAGTAACTTCCCTAGGACACAAACCCTAGTAAGAAGTAGAGCCAAAACTGAGAAATAGGTCTGTCTGGTTCACAAAACTTCTTCCTCTGATTCACAATTAATGATTTTGAATATTTACATCGAACAGACTTCACATTTTTGTACTCTAGGCCCCTTACCGTAATAGTTGGTAATGCAGGAATTAGAAGCCTGGGCTTGAGAATCAGACTGCTTGGGTTTGAATTCCCATTCTATTATTTCTTTGCTTTGTGACCTTGAGCAAATTACTTACCCTCTCAGTGCCTTATGTTCCTTATAAGGTATTTGTGAAGATTAAATGAAATGATGTAGAGCACATGGAATGGTAGTTGTCTGGCCCATAGTAAGAACTTAATACCTGTTAATTTTTGTTCTTATTATTTAATATTATAGGTCAGTTTTCCCGAAGTGTTCTCTGAACTCCCAGCTAATGCCTTAATTTTTTTGGTTAATACTGGCATTGTAGGTGGTTTCTAGAAGTGTATGTATGAAATATTTTATTTATATATATACTTTTATGACAAATAGAAGTAATTTTCTACTTTATAATTTTCACGAGCAAATAACCCGTACTCATAAGATTGCCTTGAACAGAGGAGGAGTGAGTACAAGTGTAGTGAAGGAGTAGGGCTGGGGCTCTAATTAGTTAAGAATTTTTCCCAAACCTCTGTGTACCACCAAATTGGATTTATGAGAGGTAAAAATTATCATCATCATCTCTTTATCTAAAACTCTTGAAGATTTTTCTTTTGCCACCCTTTCATTAACTTATCCATTGTAATACATTTATTGAACATTTTCTATGTGACCAGCACTGTTCTGAGTGTTGATAAAAAAGGCAGTTAAAAAAAAGATCTGCTCTTATGGAGCTTAAATTATAGTGAGGGAAACAGGCAATAAACAAAATAAAGAAGTAAATGATATTGTATATCAGAAGATAATACTTGCTTGGGGAAAAATAAATCAGAGAAGGAGGAAGTGGAAAGCCAGGGGATGGTGCTGGTGGTGGTGGATTTTTAAGTGGGATAGTCTGAGAAAGCCACATGGAGAAGATGATATTTGAGCAAAGATTTGAAGGATATTTGAGTGAGACGTGTAGATATCTGGGAAATGAGCATTCCAGGTGAGGGAAGTATAAATGTAAATGCCCCAAAACAGGAATATGCCTGACATGTTCAGAGGTTAGCAAGGAGACCAGTGTGGCTAAAGTAGAGAAGCAGGGAAGACAGTAGTAGGAGATGAGATCAAAGAGGTAAGGGTGGGCCATATTTTGTGAAGCCTTTTAGGTCAAAGTAATAACTTTGGCTTTGAGTAAGATAAAAAGCCAGTTCATCATTAAGAGCAGAGGTACAGCATAATTTGATGTTTTAACAGAATCTGGATACTATGTTGAGAATAGACCATAGAGGTAGGCAAGAGTAGAAGCAGGAACACCTATCTGGAGGCTATTTTAGTAATCCAAGTAAGAGAAGATGGTGGCTCAGTTGGTAGCAGCTGTGAAACGTAGTCAGGGATTAGTCATGTATTTGCTGACAGATTGTGCGTGGTGGGAGAGTGGTGTTAGAGAAAGAGAGGAGTCTTTTTACTCTCTATTGGTGAATGCAAGTCATAGCCTTTATTTAAAGCAGTATACATAAAGCCATCTGTGCCAGCTCTAAAATTTCTCTTCCTGGTTTACTGGGGATTTTAGTTTACTCTGCAGGAAATCCAGCAGGTTGTAATTGAAATTACTGATGCTGTTCAGAGCGGGAAAGTATCTTAACAGTCAGTTTATTAGTTGAGACCAAAACCCAAAAACCAAATCCACTGTCGCCAAGTTGATTCATACTCATAGCAACCCTATAGGACAGAGTAGAACTGCCCCATAGGGTTTCTAAGGCTTCATATCTTTTACAGAAGCAGACTACCATATATTTATCCTGTGGAGGATTGTGGGTTCCAACTGCTGACCTTTTCAATTAGAGGCGGAGTGCTTTAACCACTGCACCACCAGGACTCTTTATAGTTTAGACCAAAGATTCTTAAATTATGGCCCACAGGCTAAATCTCACTCTCTGCCGGTTTTTGTTAATAAAAACTTATTGAGAAACAGTCACACCCATTCATTTACATATTGTCTGTGGTAGCTTTCCTGCTATAACCAAAAACGAAACCCATTGCTGACAAGTCGACTCCACCCAACTCATAATGACCCTATAAGACAGAGTAGAACTGCCCCATATGGTTTCCAAGGAGCTGCTAGTGGATTCGAACTGCCCGCATATTATATTCAGGTTAGCGGACTAGCTCTTAACCACTATGCAACCGAGGCTCCACAAAGGCAACAGAGACCCACAAAGCTTAAAATATTTGCTGTCTGACTCTACAAAAAATGTTTGCTGACCCCTAGTTTAGACCATTGTTTAAGAGTTGCATCAATATTTTCCTCTGAACTTTTTCCAACCACTCAGAGTATTTAAGTGTGAAGAAAAAAATTTTTAGAGGGGACATGAAATGGCATTAGAGAGAGTAAAGAGGGATTATGCAAAGGCATTTGACTGTGTGGATCATAACAAATTATGGATAACATTTCAAAGAATGGGAATTCCAGAACACTTAACTGTGCTCACGAGGAACCTGTACATAGATCAAGAGGCAATTGTTCGAACAGAACAAGGGGGTACTTCGTGGTTTCAGGTCAGAAAAGCTGTGCATCAGGGTTGTATCCTTTCACCATACTTATTCTATCTGTATGCTGAGCAAATAATCAGAGAAGCTGGACTATGTGAAGAATGGGGCATCAGGATTGGAAGAAGACTCATTGAGAACCTGCAATATGCAAATGATACAACCTTGGTTGCTGAAAGTGAAGAGGACTTGAAGCACTTACTGATGAAGATCAAAGACCACAGTCTTCAGTACGGGTTACACCTCAACATAAAGAAAACAAAAATCCTCACAACTGGACAAATAAGCAACATCACGATAAACAGAGAAAAGATTGACATTGTCAAGGATTTCATTCTTCTTGGATCCACAATCAACACCCATGGAACTAGCAGTCAAGAAATCAAACAGTGCATTGCACTGGGCATATCTGCTGCAAAATACCTCTTTAAAGTGTTGAAAAGCAAAGATGTCACTTTGAGGACTAAGGTGCAACTGACCCAAGCCATGGTGTTTTCAGTCGCCTCATATGTGTGCAAAAGGAGGACCATGAATAAGGACGACCAAAGAAGAATTGATGCCTTTGAGTTGTAATGTTGGTGAAGAATACTGAATATATACCGACTGCCAAAAGACCGAACAAATCTGTCTTGGAAGAAGTACAGCCAGAATGCTTCTGAGAAGCAAGGATGACAAGACTTCGTTTCACATGTCATCAGGAGGGACCAGTCCCTGGAGAAAGGCATCATGCTTGGTAAAGTAGAGAGTCAGCGAAAAAGAGGAAGATCCTCAACGAGATGTACTGACACAGTGGCTACAACAGCGGGCTCAAGTGTAACAATGATTTTGAGGATGGCACAGGACTAGACAGAGTTTCGTTCTATTGTACATAGGGTCACCATGAGTTGGAAGCGACTTGATAGCACCTAACAACAACAACAATAATGTACAAATACTGGAGCCCTGGTGGCACAGTGATTAAGAGCTTGCCTGCTAACCAAAATGTCGGCAGCTCGAATCCACCAGCTGCTGCTTGGAAACCCTGTGGAACAGTTCTACTCTGTCCTGTAGGATATCTATGAGTTGGAATTGACTCGACAGCAACCGGTTTATAAAAATACTAGAATCAACTTATTTCTCTCATTTATGTTAATCTACCTATTTCTTTCTATGGGTGTCTACTTCCTTCTGATCTCTGTTGTACTTTGTATTGAGAAATAAGTGCAGCTGACTAGACTGAGGGGAAAATGTATGCTTTTCTCAGCAGTAAAAATTTATTATAAGAATGAATCTTGGATGGTAGAGACCAATTGTTCAATTTTACAACTTTGACAGAAAATAAAAGATGAGTACTAACGTCAGTGTGAGCATCAATCTTTATAAAGAATTTGGTTGTCTTCTCGTGACTTCGTGTAACCCTATGATGCAGTGCAAATAAGTTTTCCAATGTCGTTTGCTTTTACAGGTCTATAATGACGGATCTATACTACCTCAGTCAAACGGATGGAGCAGGTGATTGGCGGGAAAAAGAGGCCAAAGATCTGACAGAGCTGGTCCAGAGGAGAATAACGTATCTTCAGGTAAGAAGGTTAGATTAAAAAAGAAACTTAAGTGAAAAAGAAGGAAAATTATGATAAAACTAAAAGTAAGCATTGCTGTTGTTTTTTAATCTTCCTAACCATTGCGTTGAAAGTATTTACTCACTCATTTCACAGAGGAGCCCTCGTGGTGCAGTGGTTAACAGCTATAGCTGCTAACCAAAAGGTTGACAGTTTGAATCCACCAGCCACTCCTTTGAAACCCTATGGGGCAGTTCTGCTCTGTCCTGTAGGGTGGTGATGAGTCAGAATTGACTGGATGGCAGCGAGTTATTTATTTTTTATTTTTTGCATTTCATGTATTTATTTAGAAAGACACTATGTTTTGCCTTGAGTTTAATACAAAGATGGCTAAAACAAGGTCCCTGCCCTAAAGGGGGCTACTTCTTATACACACACCAAAAAAACTACAATACAAAGTAGAAAGTGCTATATTTTATAAGAGAGATATAGATGAAATGCTTATTTGAGTTTTTAGGAAGGAAACAGCAAGGATAGTTTTGTGGAGGGGATATTGTTTGAGCTGAACTGTAAAAGATAGGTAGGATTTCAACAAAAATGGAGAAGAGCATTCCAGTTGGAGGATTTGATGTGAGCAGTGGCCCATAGCTGGGAAAGAGCAGTAAAAAAAACCCATAAGTTGTTGCCATTGAGTCAATTCGATTCTGACTCATAGTGACACTATAGAACAGAGTAGAACTGCCCCATTGGGTTTCCAAGGCTGTAATCTTCATGGAAGCAGACTGCTGTACCTTTTGTTAGCAGCTGAGTGCTTAACCACTGCACCACACGGGTTCCTTTGGGAAACAGCAGTGCAGGAACTCAAATGAAAAATAAAGTAGTTCAATTTGTCTTGAATTTTAGTTGTGTGAGAAGGAGGGAGGGAAAATAAACTGGAAAAGTAGGTTTGGGAGCCAAACGACAGCCATCTTTGGGTGCCAGGTTAAGCACTTTAAGCATCATGGTGCATAAGAAAGAAGTGGTCGCCTAAAGATTTTATTTATTTGTTGCATAAATATCTTTATAACAACAAATAGGAAATATAAATAAAGGGAAAACCACAAATCCAAGAGCCTTTTAAATTAATTCTCTTCATTTGTGTGTGTGTGTGTGTGTTTTCTTTTTGTTCTTGTTAATATGCACACACAGTCTTACAAAAAAAAAAAAAAAACAAATCCATTGCTACTGAGTTGATTTCAACTCATAGTGACCCAATACGACAGGGTAGAACTGCCCCATAGGTTTCCAAGGCTGTAAACTTTATGGAAGCAGACTGCCACATCCTTCTCCCACGGAACAGCTAGTGGGTTTGAACTGACATTTCAGTTAGCAGTTGGGCGCTTAACCATTGCACCACCAGGGCTTTTTTTTTTTTTTTTTTTCTGAACAGTATACCGTAAGCATTTTTCTTATTTGGAGTCTTAATAATGAAATGAATGAAATGTTTTTACACACAAGAGTGGCATGATGAGAGTGTTTTAGTGATATTAGTAATGGAAGAAACTAGAAACAGAGTGTAGTGAATTGGTTGGACTTGTTTAGTATTGGAAGAGACTAGGAAGAGACTAGAAACAGGGAGACAGGCCATTTAGGATATGAGGACCATAGTGCAGGTGAGAAGTATTGAAGAATGTAGCAGTTTGCATGAGGTAGAGAGACACATTTGAGAGACTGGGAAAATAGAATTGAAGGTCTTGCCAAGTAGGTGAATGAGCAGAGATGGCCAGGATAATGGAGACATCATTAACTGACAGACAAGGAACAGAGAGAGAGTAGTCTTCAGGGAAAAATAATGAATGAGTGAAATTCTTCAAGTCCAAGAAGTTGGAATGAACACAGAACACCCTCTTACCTCCTTTTTAATGCTGTTGATGGCACACTTTCTTTGTTCAACTACTCTGCTTTCCTTTTAAGGTCAAAGTGTCTTTATAAAAGACAAATGACAGGCAGTGACTTGCTTCTGTATATTTCAAGGTGCACATTTTCCTACACTTAAATTGGAAAAAATAGAAAAGTAAGTGTTTATAGAGATCATTAAAAACCAAGGTGATCTTGGCATGCTGTCTTGGTCTCATACTCCCATGGCTGTTCATCAGAGGTGTCTGCAGAATGAGAAACATTTCACCTCCTATAGGGAAGAGGTAATTATCTCCTATCAACTAGATCCTCATTCAGTGAACTATAAACAGCTGGTGGTGCAGAACCATCATCCTCATTTAAAATGGAAATAACTGTGGTCTCTGAGCTTCTTGCATTTCCACATATTTATTAAATTTTCCCCTACAAAAATTATATTTAAACAATGATCTGGTCATAGTTCAGCTCCCCACATTGTAACATGTGCTTGCCATCTGCTCTAATTAATCTTTTCCCCCTCCTGGTTTTTAAGTGACTAGGTGCGTTCACCTGTAGTGCTAATTTGATCCTATATATGCTGATTTTTATGATTTTGTATTAGAGTATCTCAATTATTAATCATGCTAATAAGGTTTTAAAATTCAGTGGACTTTATACTATCACAAAACTAAGCATTTCAGTTGGATCTTAACTTTAGCTTCAAATATTGCTGTTTAACAAATTCTTCAATATTTTTCTCTTTTTTTCCATTGGGGAGAAAAACTGGTTTTTAATATTCAAGGGCATAGGGAAAACCTCAGTTGGAAAAATATATTCTGGAAAAATATTTTTCTTTAATTATTTAATGTATTCATAATCTCTTTTTCCATTAGACTAAAAGTTTTTTAAAGTCAGGAACTATATATCTAACATCTTATTTGAAGTTAAGGTTAAATATGCCAATCATTCACTCTTCCTCTTCTCTGGATAGAAATGAAGGGTCCCTTCCCCCCCATCCCAACAAAATTAAGCATATATATTTGGAAGAAATGTTTCCTCTGACTAGAATTTTTATTCCCAGTGCATTTTTAGGCATACAACAACTTAAAAAATAATGTAATTGGTTTAACTATATGGCTTGGTCAATCTAATCAGAAAAGTAGACTTATTTATATAGGTAAAAAGTGACTAAAATAGCTTTTTCTATTATAACTTTGTTTAGTATTTAAATCTATTGGTATTTCCATACCATTATTTTAAGTGAAATATTACTGCGGAAGGCTATTTAAGCAACTTAGACTGAAAAACTCTTAACAGGGCATAAAAAATGAGTATAGGATACTAGGAAATAAAGCTAAAAAAGAGTATGTATAAAAGAAGAAACTTTGACTTTTGATACCTATACTCAAAATAAAAATAAACAGTTCTTAGAACTTTTTAGTAGAGATTTTAGAAGGCTTTTCTTGTTTAGCCTATCAGCCAGTTTTGTTCAGAGTTGTGGGTTCCTAGTGTTGTATGTGTTTATAGATTTTTCTATAGCTTAGCCATGTGATTGTAATCAACCAAGGAATTCATTCAGAAACTATAGTGAACATTAAGTCAAGCTACTTATGGCTCTTTTCTCTAACTTTTTACCCAATCTCATAGCAAGAGATATTTTCAAAGTATAATTTTGACCTTAAAATTATGGGTTGTAACTTTATAATGCATTTTTTATTCTTATGTCTTGGATTTACTTCTAAATACCTGAGTTAGTCATATAAACACTGTGCTCTAGTGTTTTTCTATTAATTATGAAATTAATTTTAATATATGAGAGATTGATAAATGAGTTAATCATTTTTTTGTGCTTTAAGTGAAAGTTTACAGTTCAAGTTAGTTTCTCATATAAAAATTTATACACACATTGTTATGTGACCCTAGTTGCTTTCCCTGTAATGTGAAAGCACACTCCTCATTTCCACTCCAGATTTCCTGTGTCCATTCAACCAGCTCCTGTCACTTTTTGCCTTCTCATCTCACCTCCAGACAGGAGCTGCCCATTTAGTCTCATGTATCTACTTGAGCTAAGAAGCACCCTCTTCACAAGTATCATTTTATGTCTTATAGTCCAGTCTAATCTTTGTCTGAAGAGTTGGCTTCAGGAATGGTTTTAGTTCTGGACTAACAGAGAGTCCGGGGGCCATGTCTTCTGGGGTCCCTTGAGTCTCGGTCAGACCATTAGATCTTTTTACTGCAATTAGAGTTCCACACCCCACTTTTCTCCTGCTCTGTCAGGGACTCTCTGTTGTGTTCCCTGTCAGGGCGGTCATTGTGGTAGCTGGGCACCATCTAGTTCTTCTGGTCTCAGGCTGAGACCAGAAGAGTCTCTGGTTTATGTGGCCCTTTCTGTCTCTTGGGCTAATATTTTCTTTGTGTCTTTGGAGTTCTTTATTCTCTTTGCTCCAGGTAGGTTGAGACCAGTTGATGTATCTTAGATGGCCACTTGCTAGCTTTTAAGACCCCAGACACCACTCACCAAAATGGGATGCAGAACATTTTCTTAATAAACTTTGTTATGCCAGTTGACCTAGATGTCCTCTGAAACTATGGTCTCCAGACCCCAGCCCCTGCTACTCTGCCTCTCGAAGTGTTTAGTTGTAATCAGGAAACTTCTTAGCTTTTGGTTTAGTCCAGTTTTGCTGACTTCCCCTGTAGTGTGTGTTGTCTTTCCCTTAACCTAAGATAATTCTTGTCCACTATCTAGTTAGTGAATACCCCTCTTCCTCCCTTCCCACCGTCGTAACCATCAAAGAATGTTTTCTTCTATGCTTAAACTTTTTCTTGAGTTCTTATAATATGGTCTCATGCAACATTTGTCCTTTTGCAACTGACTAATTTCACTCAGCATAATACCTCCCAGATTCATCCATGTTCTGAGATGTTTCGCGGATTCATCATCGTTCTTTATCGTTGCTAGTATTCCATTGTGTGAATATACCGTAATTTATCCATTCATCCGTTGATGGGCACCTAAGTTATTTCCATCTTTTTTGCTAGTGTGAACAGTGCTGCAGTCAACATGGGTGTGCGTATATCTATTCATGTGATGGCTCTTATTTCTCTACAGTATATTCCAAGGATTGGGATTGCTGAATCATATGGTA